TCGTACCGTGTGGTAGTCGTAGTAGAATGAGAATTTTTCTCCCACTGACGCCTCGTGAGTGGGGCCTGTTCCGTGGGAATGTGGGTGATGGGCATGCGTGGACTGATGTGGGCGTTTCGTGGTTGTAGCAGCCATAGTCTTTTAAGAAATATTTCTGTGTTATTAAATTAATTACTGTCGCCCAGTATAAAAAGGCGTCACTCCTTTGAGTCTGTAAGAGACACAGGCTCAAGGAGTTCATTAATCGGGTTGCCCCATCGGATAATCCTCAGGGATATTAAACATATTTCATATGTACATTCTTCAGATTCCCAGTTTTGGTATAAAACCAATACATCATACACCAAATTGAAAGAATGTAAGGTTTCTTTTACAGATATATTGGATAATTCCTTTTCCGATCCCATGTCTTCTGTTTCAAAATGATCTGTGAAAAACTGTAAAATCTGTGACATTTTGATACATGTAACTAACACTTCTTTCACCAGTAATCTGACTGGGAAGAGCTTCTATACCAAAACTTGGGAAAATCTTAACTGCAAATCTTGTAATGTTGTCTACGGAATAGAATGTAATCTGTGTGGACTCGTTTATGTCGGTGAAACCAAGGGATGGCTAAACAAAAGAATATCAGGTCGATTTCAAATAAATCATGGTAGTCAGCAGCTTTTATACAAACATTTTAATTCACCTGATCATTCTATTTTAGCAATGAAAGTTAGAATTCTCGAAAAGATTTATCACCACACAAATAGTCCGTCGCTGAGTAAACCTTTCCGTAGACAACGAGAAGAAATTCGGATTATAAAACTAGGGACAGCCTTTCCCTATGGATGTAATGACAGTGTCGATAGTGTTGGAAATCTTTCAAGTCCGCAGTGTAATAATGTAAATGTGATGGAATTTTTTAACCATACTCAGAGACGTAAGCGTAGTCATGGGCATCGTTCGTACTATAAGCCTGCAATACACGACGTCTCTTTTGATTCATTACTACCTTATATATGTAAATCAACAGTTAGGTCTACATCATATTTGCACCAAACTTTACTCTGTCCCTTTGAAACTTAAATAGTCTTCTTGAAAAGGCCAAGGAACATCCAATTTTAGATTCCTTGTCACCTGAATATAGACTCGGATCTGTGATTATGGATATTGCATATCATAGGCTCTTTAAACCCACACGCTTCACGGAAGAAAATGCAGCTAAAACAATTCGTCTTTTCCTTAAACTTCAATATGCCAATAAAGGAATTGATGCGGTTAATATAAGAAATATTCTTAATCACAAAAAGGTCCAGTCTTGTATTCCACCATTTTTCAAGTTAAAGATTACACCTAGTATATCCTACAAATATACATCGACCATTACTTCCAAACTTTTCAATTACAAAAACACTTTACATGTCCTGGATACTGACTATAGAAACATAATCCTCCTTCGTGTTCATGTTCTTCTTCGCCCTATAACTGTAGTTCTGCTGGTGACGTAAATATAGTTCGAAATTAGGATCTTAGATCACTTAATTTAAAAGATCCTAAATAAAGGGAACCCCGATCCTTCAACTGGCGTCGGAATTTCATAAATATTATGGATTCTGTGGAAAATTACGCCAGACGATGGGCAAGATAAGAAAAAGAAGACATTGACACCTTGTCAGAATGGATCAAATGTATCAGATCCATGTTAATGTCCCGTATTCAAAGATGAGGGGCAATATGAAAACCATATATCCTTCTGTGTTCAATAAACCAGAAGTGAAAAAGGAGTTAGATAGATTACACGATCAGTACGTACTGGTTCCTGCCGACAAAGCAGGTAACAACATTGTCTTCGTTTGTAAGGCACACTATATAAATTGCATTCTAGAAGAACTTGGATTTAATTCTATATATTCATACTTCCCTTTCTAAGGAAGAAATTCTTCAAAATCACCTGTCAGTATTGAATACTTTTAATATTCCATAGAGCCAAAATGAATTTGAACTACCTTATATATATACATGTATTGGATTCCAAAACTTCATAAGAATCCTTACAAACAAAGGTACATTGCAGGTTCCAGTAAATGTTCAACCAAGCCTCTTTCGTTACCCCTCACTAAGATATTTACAATAGTGAAGGAAACATTTCAAGAGTACTGTGCAACTATATATTCAAGAAGTGGTGTGAATTAGATGTGGATACTAAAAAATTCTTAAGAACTTTTTGACACTTTGAAATCACAAGACTTTACAAAAATTAACAGCTTAAAATCTTCCGACTTTTCAACTTTAGAAACAACACTTCCCCAAGACAAATTAAAATCCAAGCTTTTTGATAGCATTGACAGCTGCCTTTTCAATAAAAACGAAACTCGTAAATTTACTTACCTCTTCAATGGTCATTTGCAAAATTATTTTGCTAAAAAAACATTCTGATTACACACACAAGTACTCTGAAGTTGACATCAAAAAGATGCTTGAGTTTCTGATTGACAAAATCTATGTTGTTTTTGGAGACCAGGCATTCCAACAGTCTATTGGAATTCCCATGGGTACAAATTTCGCTCCGTTATTAGCAAACTTATTTTTATATTCATATGAAGCAGAATTTATGCAAAATCTTATGCGTGAAAATAGGAAAACACTTGCTGTGGCCTTCAATTCGACATTAAGTTATATCAACGACAATTTGTCAATTAATAATGGTAATTTCCATTACTACGTCGATACGATATATCCTAGTGAGCTTGAGATAAAAGATACCACAGAGTCCGACACTTCTGTTTCATACTTGGATATTTTACTTGAAAAAGACACTAATGGTAATCTAACAACCAAGCAATATGATAAACGTGATGACTTTGACTTTTCTATCGTCAACTTCCTTTACTTATGCAGCAATATACCTTCATCACCTGCATACGGAGTATATATATCTCAGTTGATTCGATACACAAGAGCATGCTCTACGTATGAACAATTTTTAAAACGAGGTAAATTATTGACAAGTACTAGTAAGTTGACGAAACAAGAATATCAACAGTTTCGTTTAAAGTCATCAGTTCGTAAGTTCTATGGCCGATACAATGACCTTGTCAGCAGAAACAATTTATCATTGAGTTAAATGCTGACTGACGTTTTTCATACCAATTGTTAGTCTTTTATTTATACACTGAATTGACGAGGGATTTTTTCCGTCATTTCCTGATCATGACAAGGAGCACACGGCGGGTATGACCGGTCGGCAGGGGATACTCACTCCTCACATGGTACCTGATCCCACCTCTGATGTTTTGGGGGTCCGTGTTTGCTCTGCTTTAATTTTTTATTGTTTTATGGACTTAAAGATTGAATATTGTTCGTTATCTCCATATCCTTCTTTAAAAGAAGATCTTATACCGGGTATTTTTTGATACTTGCAAATTGTTGGTTTTATGAGAGATAACTTTAGAAAACCTTCTTTGAATTCTTTTTTCACATTACACTACATTTATTTAAATTCTTGATTTTTTTTAATCAAAACATCTAGGTACGTGTTTTAATCCTTTTTCGAATATAGTTTTTAGCTGAAAAAAAAGTGGGGATCTTACAAGGCATGCACAGTCGTTCAATCACTATTCAAAATTTTTTGAAACAAATAAAACCAACAAAAAAAGCACACAAAGGTTTAAATTGTCTAATTTATCAAAATTAATACTAGTATTTATGCAATAAAGAAAAAAAAAAATCGTGGGCTACATATAATTCTTTACAGAAATTCTTTCTAATATTATCTGCATTTTTTTACCCCTAAAACTAAGAATTTATGTTCATTAACTGCCCCTGATTTAGTATTTAGCCATTTCTAAAAATGTTTCAGTAGTATTTTTTAAATTTACTCACCACATAAACGCAACATAAAAATAGAACGATTCTCGGCATTTTTTATTCTTCTTATGCTAGGTCTCTGGAGAAATGTGAATCGTGAAGGTACAATTCTCCTTTTATATTAATTGGCTTAGACTTATCACATATTTCTTATCCTGACAGTCAATAAGTGCTCACCTAAAAGTGCTCACGGAATACTATTTATGTTCTAAATATGTCCTTTCAAACTAGAATAGTGTCCTAAAGCGAACTATTTCCCAAGCAGAAGCAATATCGAAGCAAATTAAGACTTGAAAAAGAAGAGAAGACTGTTTGGAATTGCTTAAGAAATAAATAATTTGATTTGATACCTTCTCTTATACCAAATGTTTTTAAAAAATCTTCTATAATAGATATAAAAAAATATCTGATAAAAGAGATTTAACTGTCGTTTTATCTAACACCGTTTTAGAAATTTCAAACGATCTTTAAGTCCACTTTATATGAAAAATAAACGTTTATCAACACGAAATTAAATGACTAATCAGAATACAACGTACAAGGAACTCTGTAAAGATTTTTCTCATATAGTTAATATCAAAGCACTGTAAAATTGTTTGTAATGGAAAATTTTCGATGCAGCGGTCCAGGAATACAGTAAACTTGTAGGACATGCTAGATGTAAACTTAAAATACCGTATAAGCAGAATGTTTAGCGAGTATTAATTCTGGCATTTTCAGGGAAGATGTTGAGATCGCTAAAAATTAATATCGCTAAAAATTAATTTATTTTTATTTTTACTCTGATTTCTAAAAGCTTCTTTAGTGAACATTTTAAAATCGCTAAAATTGCATTTCCCTTGGAAAATAAAACACCTATTTTTTAATGACAAATCGCTAAATTTGCGTCTTTTTAAAATTTCCATTTATACGGGTATGTAGGAATAAAATAGTCATTTATACATAATTAGTCGTATTTACAAAAAAAAGTTCCACACAATCTTATCTTTAATTTGGTTTAAATGCATTTTTTATCTCTGTTCAGGTTTTGCATCCCGTTAGTACACTTTATTTATATTTGCATTAAAATTTGATCAACGAAAGGTACATTAAGTATGTGAAAGTTCATAGCGAAGGTAAATAATACGTACTGTATTCCGTGAGTACTTTTAGGTGAGCACTAACTGACTCTCTGAGATTTGTGATAAGTTCAGATGGTCATCTAAAATTAGTTCCCGCGCTGTTATTCCCGATTTCCATTTCTCTAGAAAATCTAAAATAAAACAAGGTATGCTAATAATACACATGGCATATACATTCAGCGAAAGGGCCATCGATTACAGTATTCATCTAAAAACCTTTATCCTTTCTGATTTTTCCCATCCTTCTTTATTCTATGCCCACAAAATCCAAAATTTTGAAACATTGTTTTTGTTCCGCCTGTTTGACTTTATTTTTGTCTGTTAATCTAGAAAATACTTTATTCATGGTCATTACTTTTGATTAGTAAAAGCTATTTCTAACATATTTCACAGGTGTATTTCTTGTGATCAGAATTTTATTTGAGACAAACTTGACTTTGACCTTGGAGTATGAAATTTTACATAATCAAAATATGCCAAACTTTAATTTTGTCTATAAGTTATGAAGTGTTGCATACTAGTCCGCGTTAAGCAGTGGTTAGAGCGTCTGATTTAGAGTCGCAGAGTATGTTGAAAGTATATATTAATTCCACTGTGGGACGTGGAGACGGGTTTTTCGGATGAGACCGTGTCAACGGAGGTCCCTGTCGCAGTTGGTGCTGGCACAAAAAAGATCCCTCACTGCTCAAGGGCTTTGAGTGCCGAGTAAAGGACACAGTTTGCAGTTTTCCACTGGCAAGCAGTAGTCTCCATATGAGATAAATGTTTTATAGAGGGGCGTTAAACACAAACAATTTAATAAACGAACGATTCCAGCTAAAACTTTCATCCTTTACTGTTCTATTTCTTGTTTCTTGGTAGAGTTATGGTTATCAAATATCACAAGTATATTTCTTTGACATGGTCATCCCTTGGGAACCTTTTGGACTAAAAGCTCACCTGACTTTAAATGAAATGAGGACTATAACTCCCATCAATATAAACATTTGCCGTGTAATACACATTTAAAAATGTGATAAAAAAACCACGAAAATCTAATGTGAATATAAAATATTACATTTATAGTTTTTTTTTTTATTTTTTTTTTATTTAGAAAAACAAAACATCATATACATGTTACACACAGTGCAATTGATTTGGTAAGTTTAACAATTACATTCTTTCTATTTGTCATGTAAAAATCATATGGAATAATTTATCACAAAATATCAAAATGAAGAAAAGTCATTAACAAATACAGCTGATTATCTTATGTATGATTGTATAGATTTTATCAAACTTCAATGAAAAAAAAGTCATAAAAAATACAGCTGATTATCATATGTATACTTGTATATATGTACCCTTATATATCTGGGAGACCTCACCTCCAGCCCAAACACAGTCTATTTATTGTCTCCCAGATAAAATTTGTAGAATAACAGGCTTATTCTACAATGGGTTTAAAAATTATAGTTTCTCTTTAATACATTTCATAACATTATAATATTTCATATGGTTAATTTTCTTATATACTTCACTAAAAATATTCAATATACTCTTCATATGATAACATATTTCTTGAGGCTTTTCTTCTTTGTTTTCAAGTCTACAGTACATTTTGTATTTGTAAATTTCACATGCAATGAAGGATATTATGCTATTCAAAAATAATATCTTTTCATTTTTTTCATAATAAAATCCAATAACAATATTCTTCCATGATATATCAAATTTCAAAACTTGCTGAACAACATCCCATATATGAGACACATTTTGACATTTTAAAATAAGATGTCCATTGTTTTCTTTTACATCTTTACAAAAAGCACACATTTCATTTTCAACAATTTTCCATTTCTTCAACATTTCTCTATTACACAATAAGTTATTTAATAATCTGTAATTGAAGTCTGATATGCCTCTATCTGCAATTGCTAATATTTTTTGTTCATATATAGATTTCCAAGCAGTTTTTGGAATTTCAAACAATTTTCCATAATAATACTGATGTAAGGGAGGTTTAACTTTATCATGACACAGAATGTTATAAATCAATTTTGAAGTAATATCAAACACTGTTACTTGATGATGGTATAATAAATCATATGAATTAATTTCATATTTGATATTTTCATACTGTATATTTGTAAATTCATATTCTACAAAAGCTTTCAAAATTACATTTTTCATTATCATATAGTCACAAATCCAATTTCTCTTACATACAAGTTTATCATAAAACCATTCTATGGATTGCATACCATTTTTGTCTACAATATCACCAATATATTTAAATCCGCTTTTCAGCCAATTTGAAAAAAAATATTGGCTTGTTTTTATACTTAATTTTATTATTACACCACAGTGGTTCCTTTAATAAATTATTCAAATTCAATTCTCTTTTGTTTCTTTTACATTCATTAAAAAATACTAGCATTTCATTGTAAAACAAGGGAAAGTTTTCCATAATTTGATAGTATTTTGTATCAATAATGTTTGTTTTACATAGATATTCAAAATCAAAATTTCTCTCTTTACACAAACTATCAATAAATAGGAATAAGGAGTATGTTTTACTTAGTATGTTTTTAATCCATGATACTTTTATGGATTTTAGTTTTAAAGGTACATCAACAATACCTATTCCTCCTTCTTGAACACTTCCAATCTGAGTGTTTCGCTTTATTCTGTCTTTTTTATTCCATATAAAATTAAAAATTAGACTTTGTATTTAACTTAACTGTATTTTCATTTGGAAAATTTAAAATTGACCCAATATATATAATTTTTGATATTGCTAGACTATTAATTACACAGACTTTGCCCAGAATTGTTAATTTTCTTTTTTTTCCAAGATTCGAAAAGTTTGTCTAAGTCGTCTACAATTTTTGTCCAGTTTTTATTGTAACATATTTCCTTATCATGTCCTATGAATATCCCTAGAGCTTTTATACAGGAATTATTAACTTCAACATTTTCTATTTGTCGATACAAATTTTTCAATTGACCTGTTACGAGACATTCTGTTTTAGACCTGTTTAGTTTCAAATATTAAACCAGATACTTTACTGAATTTTTCTATAACCTCTAAAGAATGTTTAAGAGACTTCTTATCTTTTAAAGGAAGTGTGCAGTCATCTGCATGTTTTATTATCTTTATAATATCAGTCATTCCAGGTTTTTGAAAACCCTTTATGTTGGGATTTGATCTAATAGCAATGGCTAATACTTATACTACAAATAGGAATAAAATAGCAGAAATAGGACAGCCTTGTCTTATACCTCTGTGCATATCACATGTTTTAGATATCCACCCGTTATTTTTTATTCTAAATATAGGCTTATCATATAAAATGGTGATCCATTTCAAGAAATTTTCTCCAAAATTATTTTACATTTATAGTTATCATAGCATGCATTGTTATAGGGTCATCAACTCATAATCATGAATTAAATGGATAAATTTTGATCTAGAGGGGTATGGTGAGACAGCAATGGACAATCAAAGATTTGCATATAGGAATATATAGGATTTTAAGAGCAAAACCTTCTGCTCAATAACAGCGAAGCTATGATTGAATGAATTGTCATATTTATGAAACGTACTAAGGTAGTTTAGAATCAAGTGTGTACAATTCTCAACCCCCGGGGACAGGGCGGGGCAACAAGGGACAATCAAAGTTTTATAAGGGTAAACATAGGAAGAAATATTAAAAACTCTCTCAACAACAGTAAAACTGGGTTTAATCATATTAATGTAAATAGAAGCATTTTCAGATACATTATTTGATATAGACTCAAAATATATTTCAAATAATGATGACCATTAGTAGATGGGGCTACTACAGGTTTCAATGTTTACAAAGAAATGAAAAGATTCTTCAAATTTTCTCAAAAACAACAATGTTTTGATTTTACATATTAATTCAGAAACATCCTCAGATAATGTTGGATCAAATCTTGTGCCGCTAGTGAAACATGGCAAAATAAAAGTTAAAAATATAGGAAAACTCTTGCCAAATCTATTTAAGTTAAGATTAGTCACATACATATTGGAGCAACCTCGGGTAGTGTTGATTCAAGTTTGTTCGAAATAACCCTTCCCGAGATACATTTTATATTTTAACTTTTCAAACTGAACTTATTTCTGCTTTTATCTCCTTAAAGTTCTCAGGTTATGGCTGTCCCTATTTCAGGATTATTTTGAATATCATCTTTGTTTAATGATCTTTTTGTTCTCTTTACCCCCCGAAACATATATATGTACATGTTAAAATATGAAGTACTTGGTTAAAATCGGCACAGCAGGTTTCAAAAAAGAGAAGATAGCAATTGTCTGCAGGGAAAAATCGAAAAAAAAAGAACTTTTGAGCAGTGAACTTTATTCAGCTTTCAGATCAAAAGCAAATGAATTTCAAATATAATAAAAAAAATCATTATCTTCCAAATCAGGTTAATTTATATATCAGCACAATATATCCAAGAAATCATGAAATAAAAAGTACCAAAGAACATATCATATTTTAGACCATTACCTCACTTTATACCTCTCGTAAACCTCGTAAAAAATTCTTCCTTATGAATGTTTGAAAAATCAAAACAAAAAAAAAATCTTAAAAGCTTTAATATCATCAGTCATTTGTCAACAAATACAGGTAAATGAGTGGAGCTCACTAATTTGCTTTAGCAAATTAGTTAATCTGATAAATATGGGTGTAGCGCGTCGGGTTACATAGGTGTCCAAGTACTGCATGCATAGCAACCAGAGCATCAGGTGTTATGGAGACCATAGTGGGATTGGAGTCGATGATATCGATCACATTTTTCTGAAAAAAAAATGTAAAACATTAAAAACAAGATGAACTCCTTCAAGCGTATTACATTATGAGTTTCATCCACTTCTTTCAAGATATATTATATATTGTAATATAAAAATTTATATATTGAATTTCAAGAAGAAATAGCGGTTGTTATTTTTCGTGGCATCAAAATCGTCAATAAAGATTTCAACTTTGAAAACACTCCTTAAGGTAAATGAAAAGAAATAAGGTTTCAGCCTTGAATGGTTCCCTTTTCATTGTTAAAAATGATGTTTGAAAATCATTTTGTCATATCAGTGAACCTAATTTCAAGTTATTTTTAGTCGAGGACTTGCTCAGTTTTATGGCTTTTATGAAACAAATTGGCAAACATGGAGCAACTTGTTCGGCTCTTTTTGTTAAGTACCATAAAAGAAGCTTTAGTTGTCTATGGGTCCAATACTTATATTATAACTACCCTTTTTCTGATCAAAATAATATTGCGCTTTTAGACAACATTAAGTTGATCAATAGCATATCGTTTAATTATCTTTTACCTCAATTGTATGAAGTCCATGTGACGAATGAATGTTCATCTGTTCCTGTGAGCTTGTTTTATACAGGTAACAGGTATGTCCAGATCTTACGGACAAAACATGCTGTAATGTAATGTTTACAAAACGTCCATCAGAATTTGTCTTAAGTAAACTTACAAAAGATACAACTTCAGATTATCTGTATTTTTAAAATCTGACGAACTGCATTCACCAAAAGTACATTAATTTCACAATCTTAAAGTTTATCTCCGATAACAAATGTGTTATTTACCGTGTGGTAGTCGTAGTAGAATGAGAAAGATTCTCCCACTGACGCCTCGTGAGTGGGGCGTGTTCCGTGGGAATGTGGGTGATGGGCATGAGTCGAATGCTGTGACCTTTTGGTGGTTGTGGCAGCTAAAGCCTTGAAAGAAATATTTTTGTACTATAGAATATACACTTCTTATGAATTTAAAACAGGACCCCCATTTTTTTTTTTTGCAAACAATGGCGAACTGTAGTTTATAAGAAAACTTTTGAAAACTCCTCTTTAAATAATTTTCAAACTACACTATTTAAATGCTTAATTTGGCGTTCTAGTATTTTTATATAATTTTTAAATTTTCTTAGTAACAGAGTGAATTTTCCATGGTATTATGCCTGCTTGTTCAATCCTTTTTAATTAGTATTTAGAACCAAGAAACCTAAGGACACTGTTTCTTATTGACAAAGTAGGTGGTAATAAGTTAAATGGTAATTATTTAGAACTAATACACAACTTTAAAATATCTTCTTTCAATGAACATTTAGAATTACTCACCACATAAACGCAGCAGAAAAGTAAAATGATTTTTGGCATTTTTGTTTCTTGTTCAGCTAGGTCTCTGGAGAAATGTGAATTATAAAGGTACACATTTTTGCTTTATATTTATATGCTTAGACTTATCACATATTTCTTCTTCTGACAGTTGATAAGTGTTCACATAAATGTGCTCACGGAATGCTATTTATGATCTCTGTAAACTTGTCCTCAAAGAAGAATAATGTCCTAAAATGACCGATACCCCAGGCAGGAACAAAATCAAAGAATTGTAATTCAAAGGAAAAGTCGATTCAATCTACAGGAGTCAATCGACTCATTTATGTTGTCTAAATGGCACTGAACATTGCATAAAAGCGTGTCAGACAATTATTAGGATACTATTTATTTTGCTCTTGACATTTTTTTTACTTTAAAGAAGTGAAAGATAATGTTACTTTGCAGTTTTACCAGTATTGCTTGATTTTAATAAACGATCTTTCTTTTACAACATGATTAATTAATTACACAACTCACTGTTACTGTACTTAAATATGAAAAGATAATTCCTAGATTAAATATTACTCTAATGAAAACTAAACTAGCATTATAAGAAAAATTGAACATTTTTACAATAACTCAAGGAACTTTAATAGTAGGGAAATAAACCCAGGACATGAATTCAAACCAAGTTCTTTAAAATATCAGTTATAGGCATAACATTCAGATTACTACTGTAGTGATGACCGTTATATTTATGATCGGGATCGGGATCCTTTTAATGTATATCAATAACATGTAAACAGATTTCACTAGTTACCCTCCAGACCTTACAGCATATAGACGTTCATCGGCTTGTGAGATCCGGTAACTCATTTATGGTGAGTTATTGACTTCCCATAACTCACTATTGTTTATTTATCATTCCTTCACTGTATTATTTATATGTCTACATACTAACACAACATTGGTGTCAGAAGTGTCAGAATCAAAAACCCCGCACAAAAGATCCGTGTATTTTGGCGCCATTTTAAAAGTAAATTCTTGGTCTCCTAAATAATATCAGGGTACACTGAATAAATAGTGTTAGTATTTTATAAGATCCTTTGTCATTATTTTTGAATATGATCAATTTCTACTTATTTTTCTTAGCCTACAACAACATGTTTTTTTGCATCTTGTACAATTGCATGACTATTTCGTCGGAGTGTCTGATGATTTAGTCAAATACATCATATAAGATCATTGATAGTAAATAAGTAGACTAATATAGTGGGTCAATAAGATCAAGATCATGACTACCCCTATAGACATAAACACAGCCTCAATTGAAGATCTCATGAGGATAAACAATGTAGGTAAAGTAAGAGCTCAAGCAATTTTAGATGCAAGGTTAAATAAGGGAACCCTTACATTGGAAGACCTTAAGGTAATCCCTAGTATCCCTAGTAACATCTGGGACCCATTGTTCGATCAGGGTAAAATAATTATTCCATCAACTTTAAGGAGTACTTTGCCCACTCAGATCTCCGGACAATCACAAGACAAAACACAAATTCATACTGAATCGACAGAACAACAACAAACACTCCAATTACAAGAAAACTTATCCCAACAAATTGAATATTTGCAAAGGGAATTAAGAGAGAAAGAATGTCAGATTAGAGAGAGAGAAAATGAGATCATGGAGAGAGAGAAAGAAATAAGAGAAAAAGATCAATTGTTACAAGAGAAAACTGACCGTCTGGAGAATAGTGAAGAGGAAATTTCAATGTTGCAGAAAAGTTTGGTGGTGAATAGAGAGAAATATGATGGGATGTTTGAAGAGTTACAAAAGAAAATGAATTTGAGAGAACAAGAATTGAATGAGCAGTACGAGAGATTTGAAGAACAAAAACAAAAAGTAAGAGCATTAGAAGAACAAGAGCGTGCTGAAAGGGAAGAAAATTTAAGATAAAAAATGAAAGAGATGGATGAAAGAGAGAGAGAGATTGTGAAAAGAGAAAAAGAATTGAATCAGATACGAGCAGAATTAGAACACCAACGACTCACATCAAAAATAGAGAAAATTTGCTCCACACAGTATCTATAATCGTAAGAGCGAGTTTAACATTGAAAAACCAGAAGAAAAGAAAATCACAGTTTCCAGTCCAGCACCCCCAAAACTTGCTACATATGATGGTAAATTGGAATGGAGACCATACATCATACAGTTCAATCATATCGCTAAAAAATATAAATGGAATGATTCAGACAAATTAGACAAACTGATCGAGTGTTTGAGAGATAAAGCTTTGAAGTTTTTTAGTTCAAGACCCGAAAATGTACAGCAAGACTACAAGCTACTATGTCAAAAATTGAAAGAACACTTTGACAAGAAGGACCAGCCACATATCATTCGTAGACAATTGCAGGAAATCAAACAAAATTCAGAAGAAACTATTGAAGAGTTTGCTGAACGCATAGAAGAACTTGCGGCTGAAGGGTATCCAGAAACCCCGGAATTCTTTAAAAGTACCATCACCGTCGATGCCTTTCTACGCGGATGCACAGAAAAAAGGGCTGCACTGGTCACTCTGGACAAAGATCCCCAAACTCTGGACCAGGCAATCACTTATATGAAGAGCTCGATCACCAACCAAAAATTAATAATGGGCCCAAAGAAAGAGATAAAAAGTGTTTCATTCGAGAACAACAAGTCTGATGATAGTCCATCCAAAGATATACATATTAGAATGGCAAGAAGTCCATCACCGCCAAGGCCTTCATTAGAGTCAAGGATTTCAACATTAGAAAAAGAGAGCAAGGAAACAACCATATTACTAAAAGAAATTCTGAAAGTATTACCAGCGCCAGATGAAGAACAACAATCCAGACCCAGATTTCAGTCACCAAAAAGATCATCAACATCAAGGTATTCATCACCACAAAGAACGTTTAATGCATCCGGACCAAGATATGCATCACCAAAAAGATCTCCATCTAATAGTCCTGTAAGGACAGAGAGTCAGAGCGAGTGTTATGTGTGTGGTAAGAAAGGACATTTTGCTAGAAACTGTTGGAAGTCGAAATCAAGATCACCTTCACCAACACAAAAAGCTGTCAATTTAAACTTTCAAGAGCTGAGGAAATAGGTCATTCCTCAGCTCATACAAACACACCAAGACCTCAACCACACACAAGATTCAAAATGGTCGAGACCATAAAATGATCAACAATGTATATATATACTTGTACATTTCCAATTTCTTTCAGAATTTTTTAATGAAATAAAATTTAGTTTTATGTGGTAGTTAAGGATTATCTGGAGATTGGCAGATAGTAGAGTCGGATACTCTGACATTATTGGTTTGCCAGTTTCTCAGATAATTCTTAGAAAAAGTCAGATATAGGTTAATTCTGGACACGAGAATTAATTTTGTAAATATTCTTTATTTTATTGTACTATACGTCTTTTAGGATGTTATAGTTTGGAAAACAGATCCATTCTTAATATATTTTACCTACAGCAGAACATATTCTAAAAAAAAAAATTCGTAAATTTTGTGACTAGTAATTTATTCAGTCTTTTATTTTGTTCAAATAAAAAAAAAAGAAGAGATTTTGTAAAGATGAGAAGTCCTATGGATTAATTTGCAAGTGTTCTATTCTTTGTCTAAATTAGGCAAATTTTTAAATTTGAAAAATAACAATTTCAGAATTAATAATTATATGTATTTAGGCTTCATTTAATCCCTAGATAGTTTTAAAAATTAAAGAAAAGGGGAAGAAAGGTCCAATATTTACAAGATTATACAATATTTTATTAAAAAGGTTTTAAAGTTCATCAAATTACCTTTCAAAGTTTGATAACATCTTTAAAAATTTTATAATTATTTATTGCGCATTGACAGTGCTGATAAATAGTCGGATTGTCTGATTGTTGTCAATTTCATTGTCCGTGTGTAATAAATAAAACAAAGCTTTTATTATTTTTAAAATGTACATAAGCTTTATATGTTTTTTATATTTTAAAAGACACATATATTTTTATTATTTTATATACAAAGCCTTTCAAATATGAGGGGGAGGAATGTAGTGATGACCGTTATATTTATGATCGGGATCGGGATCCTTTTAATGTATATCAATAACATGTAAACAGATTTCACTAGTTACCCTCCAGACCTTACAGCATATAGACGTTCGTCGGCTTGTGAGATCCGGTAACTCATTTATGGTGAGTTATTGACTTCCCATAACTCACTATTGTTTATTTATCATTCCTTCACTGTATTATTTATATGTCTACATACTAACACAACACTACTGTGAAATAACTGATTTTCGTGGGGCGTATAATTTTCGTTGTTTTCAAGGTATGAAGAGACCCACGAATTACCTGACTCTCAGAATAAGATATTTGTGATTAATTTAGATTGACATTAAAAAAAAATAGGACCAGGTTATTCACGATCCACAATTTTCTGGAAAATCTCAGAAAAAAACAAAGATATGCTCAGAAAACAAATATGCTCGTAAAAATAGAATAAATGTGCTGCATTTATATTGCGAATGAATTTAATGAAGGATATGAATATACTACAGTATTCAATATCAAAGTCCATAAAACAATACAAAATAGG